GAGATAGGATATCTCCATTAATATTTAATTTATGTTCACATTAAAGTTTTGTGTGAAAGGACAAATACAGGCTAGGGAGTAGAAGCTGTATTTTTTCCCTCCCTGTGGTTATCTACGACAGTTTTTGCAGAGCTGTAGTCTTACACTGAAGCAACAGATTCCTGAGCTTAGCAGTTTGGGGGAGAGTTTTCAAAAACCCTACCAAATCCATGATGCAAATAGAAAGAGAGTGGTTTGGTCAAGTGACCACAAAAATGGGCTAGAAATAGCAAATGGACTGCAATGTCTATTTAAATCCACCTCCTATTCTGGGTAAAGTAAGGGGGGAGGTGGTTTGTTTGCAGTTCTACAGAAGATAATGATTTTGAATGTTGCATATGAAAGCTCTTTTCTAAACCCTCTTTCCCAGGCAACTTGCATAACAACAATTTCGGATCCTACTGTAAGTTAAAAGCTGCTGGTAGCATTGTCACTGTTGTGGCAGGACTTCTGCAAGGGGAAATCGTTCAGCATATTTACTTCTAGGAATTCTCACTTTAGAGCCAGGATCCCATTTTCCTCTTGAAAACAAAACTGCTGTCTCTGGTGATCTATTTATTTTGCTCAGATACAGAATATGCACTCGGTGAAAGCTTAAGGTCAAGATGATTTTTAACTGCAAGAATAAGCATTCTGCGACATCTGTTCCTCACGCCCAGTTATTACATTAAACTTTAAATATTTTAGGGTCTGAAAAATTAAATCATCAAAGCCAGAGGCCACAAAACAAACTGACGTTCTGGAGCTGAAACACATTCCTCTGCAAACCATATATTGCTACACCCGTTCCTGCAGAAGAGAATTACATCCCACAGCTTGATCCATGTGTCTCTCCAGCATTATAGCTGTTTTAATCACCAAGTGTTCACAGAGGTCAACTTTTCAGATGAAGAATGGGGGCCAGGTCTCTTCGTCGTCTTCTACTGGAGCCAACAATGGCAGCTAGTGCCTCTGCGGGAAACCTCTCTCCTCACCCACAAATGTATTCTGAGGCCAGAAAGGTCTGTATTCTACAGGCTTCCTGTAGAACGCAGGGCAGAGAACTTCCCTCCAGATAATTCCTGTTTGAATTGGAACAGATTTTTTTAGAGAAACAACCAACCTTGATTTAAAAATTGCCAGTGCTGGAGAATCCACCAGGAGCCACTCAAAATATTAGGAGAGTGATACTGGTGGGTGCTGAAGGATCTCAGTGGCTGTCAAGGACTAAGGATAACTTTTTTAAGGAAAAAGCTTTCATTGCTGGCAGTTGGTTTACATTTTGCTGATTCTTTCTAAAATGAAAACTGGGGGTAGCCTTGACAAGAAAAGTAATAAAATGTCTGTTAAATTGCACAGTTTAATCACTTGCTTTTTTGTCTATCTTTCTTTCATAATTTCATAATCCATTTAGATTGTAATTCCTTGGGACAGGGACCTCTGTCTTCCTTCTTACTTGTATAGCACTTGAGGGTACATTTGATGTTATAATTTCTTTACTATTTGTTTAGCAGTGACATTAGGCTGAGCGCTAAAGAGTCCACAAAAATAAAGGCAGTCCTTGTTTCAGAGTGTCTTTAGTGTAGAAGACTGACAAGTGGAAGGCCTGGCATAGTGGGACATGCAACAGTAGGAAAAAGGGAAAATTACTTACCTTATAATTCTGCCCTGGATGTCTTGCGGGATTCTGACTCTTGAGTTTCAAGCCTCCAGTGTGAGCCTATCCCAGACTTCCGAACGTAGACTTTTGGAGGATTGTGCTGCCCCATGTTGATAGGTAGAACATTTCAACCTTGCTGCGAAATGACTGAGGGACTAAAAACAAAATAAGATATACTGGATTAGGGAAAGTTGTCTAATGTTTTACTCACAGGCATCTGTGCTGAGCCAGGTCTGCTTTGACCTCTTCATTAATATCTAGAAAAGGGAGTAAAAATGTAAATATAACTTGTTGGGAATATGAAAATGGGACTTTCTGGAAATACTAGAGGAAACAATAGCATGTGATCTAAAGATATTAGAAACCTGGACAGAAAAAAATAGAAGAGTACAAAAGTGGAGAAACTTGTAAGTTAATATGTTAGGCTGGGGAAGAGAATTTATGGTGGAGAACCTTGGAACACAAGTAATGCAAGAAATAGTTTGTGGTACTAATATTAAACAGGCACATGTTCCCTCTCTAAGAATAATCATGGCACTAATATGTTTGCAAACAATCAGTCTGGGCCTGGAAAGCCCCATTTGACTGCAATGGACTTTGGATCAGGCCATCTGCTTGTATATCCCTTTACCTTATCCTTTGGCTGACTTATCTGCTTAGATGATAAGCTCCTTGGGACAGGAACTTGACCCTGTGCAGTGCCTAGCACAATGAGGCCCTGTTCTCAGTTGGTTAACAGGCACGACTGTAATACAAATACATGAATTTGTAATGTGATATGGCAGAAGAATGGCCAGTGCAAATGTGTAGAGGCAGTAATAATAGTGCCTCTTTCTATGGCTCTAGGCCACCGGCACCTGGAATACCGTGTTCATGCTGGGGTGCTTATTAGAGACAAATTGGAGGAAGTTGGGAAAAGAAAGATGCAGGAGATCAGAGTGATCATGACAGCCTACAAATACCTAAAGGGTGCAAACACTAAGGAGATACATCATATAGGATAGTGTAAGTGGGCATTGCTAGGAGCAGTGATATGAAATTGAGAAAGGGAGCAGTTAGGCTGAATACGGTTTAGGCAGGGCAGGAAGAAAAGGTGAAAGTCCCATTGCTTGGGCCATTAAAAACTCAACTGAGTTCCCTATTCAATGAGCTCTAGAGTCTGTCTCTTTCCTCCTATCCTCCCCCACCTCCAAGGAAGCGCAGGTGGTTGTTGCCACTTCTGAGCATCCTTACTACTCACAAGGACCCTGCTCCAGAAAAGGATTTAGGCACGTGCTTAGAGTTACAGACATGTTTAAGTTGCTTTGCTGGATCAGGACACTGAAGGACTAGAGGAAACTGGTGGAGTGGGCGGAGCAGTGTAGCCTATAGTGTTGTTTGGCTTAAGAAATAGGCTAACTTAAGTAGAAGTTATGTTTTGGGCCCAAGTGTAGAGGAGTCTGGGAAATCGAAGTCGCTAGTGTGAGAAAAGTCAAAGATAAATTGGAGACAGAGTGTTATGGGAAAGTAAGAGTTAGCAAGGACATGAGCCAAGGTTATGGTATTGTGATGTTTTGGTTATAACTATTTTGAGCAAGGCTTTAAAAGTGTTTTTGAGAACTAAATGTTGTATTAAAATGCTGTCTATATTGATGGAATGGGAAAGACTTTGGTGCAGATGTTAAGTTAAATAATGTGTAATGTAAAAAGCCAATAAGAAATGGTGGAAACGTAATTGTGGTAAAGGACAGTTTAATATTAATTAGTATTATGATGGGGTATAAAAAGAATAGGTTTGTTTAAACTGGAGAAAACTTCAGTTAACATCCACAGGGTATAGTTAGATCCCAGCCTGTACTTTACTCGGTTGTCAGCGGACTGGTCACCCATTGATACATCATTTCATCACATAGTGTCAGTGTAATTGCAGTATTGTGTAAGTAGTAATTGTATGCCTGTTTGCTTAACTAATCATAATTTTTATGAAAGTTTGGTTGTCATTTATAGTGTCGCCAAGTCATCCTCTACTAAATACGTTTCCTGTGACCAACCTAGAGGCTCGACCCTGAAAACTAAGTTGGGTTTTATTGCACCCTCATCTTTAACAACTTAATATTAAGTGGGAATATTTCAACCTAAAGGTTACAGCAGCAGGCTGCTGCAGCAATTTTTGTTGCCATCCAATATCTGGGGTAAGCACTGCCAGCAGCAGCCTCCTCTCAAAAAGTTGTATAGGCCTTGGACTGGCTGCCTTTGAAGTGTTGAGAGGCCTCAGGGGCCTTGTGGGAAATTTCTCTGGAGCGGTGTAGATCATTCCAAACATGGTTGCAGCTTGCTTACTTTTAAAACACAAACGTATGGCCTGATGCGCCATTCCAGTGATTCTGGAACAGAGGCACCAATTGGGAAGTATCTCTGCTTAGAGTAAAACAGCCATGAGAAGAGCTTCTCCCTTATAATTCCATGGAAAATGTGGGGCTGGGACTCCAGGCTTGTCAACATGAGGAATTTTTTGCACTGCATTGTAGCTACACTGGGGTTAGTTCTCAGGTATGGATGTTCTGCACTGGTGTTAAGGGGGTGGGGGAAGATACTGGTGTTAATTACCCTGGTTTCAAGCCCTGCTTTACACTGATGCAAAAATGCCTAGACAAGCTCACTGGAGGAGTCAAGCAGGGGTGTGACTAGGCTGGAAGGAGGCAGGACCAGGGCATGGTTGGCTTCATCAGCATTCTCCCTGCTCAATTCTGTGAGATAGATGACCTGTCAGCACTCTCTTGCACTGCATCACTCTCCACATGTTGTCTTAAAGAGCCAGGGAAAGTGGGGAGAAGGGGCTGAGGCATTTTACAAAAGTTGACTCTTCCCCAATATAGCATGTTTATCAGTCTGACAATTCTGTTCTTTTCTATAGTTTCAACCAATTTGCCTGGTACTGAAGGTAGGCTTATTGGCCCATAATTGCCAGAATTGCCTCTGGATCTTTTTTCCTGCAAGTTCAGAAGCCCAGCACCCTACCCTCACAAGCAAACCCAGATCCCCGCACTGAAATGATCAAGGAAACTTCAAGAGTTTAAATGTATAGCTTCCAGGCCCTTATTTGCCTTTTTGTGTGTGTAAAGGACAATATGGTTCTTTAAAATTAATTCATGAGATATGGAAACAAATGATAAAAAGGCAGTATGTGAAAGTGGAAATGTTTTTATTTATCTTAATTTACATCTAAGAATAGACATTTTTCCTAGTAATTCTGCAGATTAAGTAACTAACTTGTTTGGTAAAATGTTAAAAAAAAAACAAAAAACTTTTAATAAACATGCAAAAAGTTAAACCCAATAACTTCTCAATATATGAAAATGACCAGAGAATTGGGTCAGAAATAATTATATAATTTAAAATGGCTCCCTTGAAACAATTCACACATTTAAAAAGTGTCTATAGTAAGACTACATTTAATTCAAAAGAATTTAAGACGAGTTTGCCCATCACTTCTTCCAGGGGCTTTTTCAAATGTTAGTCGCCTTTTTTTGAGCTGTGGTACTTGTGCAAAGCCTAAACCTATGAAAGAAAGTGGGGAAATAAGAAAGGAGTGATTAACTACAAAACAATGCCATAGTTGTGCAGACTTGGCAATGCATTTCTCAGTAGTAATAACAGGCCGTAGCTTTTCAAAGCATGCTACTGTACAAAGAATGACAAGATTGTAACCAGACTGAGATCTGTACAGATTACTATTTTTAGAATAAATTCCATGAATAGAAGTATCTGCACAAACATCTTGTGACTTTAAACTGAGAATTAATTTACAAAAGCAATCTGTGATATACTTAAGGACTGCAAAACTTTGGCATGCTTTTAATGTTTCTTTATATTAGATGCGTAATACATGAGACTCTCCAATAAATGTGTAATTAGAAATTTTTCATCAGGATCACACTGTTAATGTTCTCAAGTAAGTAAAAAATGTCTACACTTAAAAATTACAAATAATTTAAAAAGCAAAATATTTGAAAATTTGTTCCTTAATCTTGCATAAATCCTTCATACAGGATTCTGTTTGTCCCTAGCAATACATAATATAGAAAAACATAAAACTTAGCTAGGAACTTCATCTGCTACAGAAGAAAAATAACTTGGTGCATTCACCCTAAGTGTTTTTAGATTTAATTAAACTTTATCTTCCCACACTGATTTTTTAAGGCCTATTTTGACTTTGTAGAAGCTTCTGAAACATGGAAGTTGCATGACATTTTTCTTTAATGGGGCCATGCTTTGTGAACATGCATGCACAAATGCCTTGTGCATGAGCTAGTCTTTGTTTTATTTCTGCTCCTGAATAGTGAATTAAAAATAACTTTTTTTTGCAAGAGCCAAGACAAAACCACTGCTCATCTCTTCCTCTTGCTTTAGTAAGCTTCATCATTTTATGTATGGATTTGATATGACAGTTCTTGATATTACAGAAACCTGTTCAACTGGAGATCAGTGCTTTTCAGGACAGTGGGATACCTGGCAGCAGGTCACTGGTTCCTACAGAACTGGTTTACTAGAGTTAAAACTTTCTCTTCTGACTAGACAATTTCCTTTACAGTTACTGAAGTACTGCTAACCACCAAGCTGTACCTCAGACTTATCCCAGGGAGAGAGGGGTAGCAGCAGGTTTGTTTACAATTTCCTTATAATCACCTTAATTCCCAACGGTTGAGAAATAAAAGCAGTGTACCACACTTCAAATAACGTTTCCTCTGTTCACTGCCAGCTTGCCTTAAGCAGCCAGTGAAAGTTTTGTGAAATCTGAGTGCTAGTGCTCTTTCGATATTTTGTCAAAAGAAAAAACATGATTTAAAAAAAAAAAACCCTATTCCCCATTAGAGTCCAAAATGCACATATTTAAAATGCTAGGAACTCCTGCTTGCATTAAAAATACAAATAATATTTTAGAATTTTCTAAAACTTAACTAATTAAAATCTGTTGATTTGAAAACTATTTTAAAGAAAATCTGTGACCTAGTCTTCCAGATATTCTGATTTTTAGTTTAATTGGAGATTAATGTGTGTGATTTTACCATACCTGTTAAAACATCTTTTTCTGTTAAGTTTGATAATGATGCACTGGGCCTTCTCTTTCCTGAAAACTCTCCAGCTATTTGGTGAAAATTCAAACTACTGTATTCATCTGGATTTGCAACTGAATCACAGAGTCTGAGGTCAGGTGCAAATGAATCCAATGCATGGCTGGATGGATATTCACTCCAAAGTGTCTCCTCAACCTGAGCTTCTGGACAGCTATATGCCAAGCCTCCAAATTCTCCTTGAAAATTCTTAGAGCTTTGCTGGAATGGAAAGTCATTAAAGGTTGCAAAGAAATCTTTTTTAGAGACAAGATACCGTGCATGTTTGGAATCAGAGTTATAATGCAGCCTGTGAGGTGGTCTTTGTACTTCAAGTCAATTCTTCTTAATACCTTGATGCAGGGATTCTCAAACATTTTTTGCTGGGACCCCCTTTGAAAATATTTCAGGCTATGGTGACCCCTCCAATAAAGTGTTGACCTAACACCCTCCACCCCAATACCATGCCACACTTACTTCTGCACTGCTGCTGGCAGCGGCGCTGCCTTCAGAGCTGGGCACCTAGACAGGAGCTGCCACTCTCCACTCGCTCAGCTCTGAAGGCAGCACAGAAGTAAGGGTGGCAATACTGTGACCCGCCCCCCCACAATAGGCTTGCAACACCCTTTTGGGTCAGGACCTCCAGTTTGAGAAATGCTGCATTAGACAATACTCCCTCCTTCCCACAGAGACTGTATCTACTAGAGAGACTTATATTTCTCTACGTATATACTGTACCTCTTTGTGTTCCCTTCATGTATTAAAGTAGAGCCGAGACCCTACTACTGACTATATCAGGAGCAGAATCAGCCCCTTGATCCCTGATAATTCACTATAACTGAGCACTTGAGGCTTCAAAATATAAAACAAACATATAGTACCTTCTAAAATGGTAAATGAGGATTTAACTGCATCTTTCTGAATGATCAGCTGTATCATTTTCTGAACAGTCATCTTAATTGAGCAATAAAGCTAGGTTTCATTTGCAATTTCACTTAAGTTAATTCAAGTATTATAAGGGAGCTGATTGATTTTGATCTTGTTCTTTTTTGAAAATGCATCCTTCTTAATTCCATCCAGGTTCTTGTAAATGTCTAATACCTTAAGATTTCTTCAGATTCTTTTTACCAAGGACACACTCTTTACCTTGAGAATACAAAGCCCAGCTTTTTCAAACTGCTTTTCTCGGTCCTTGAATTCCTGACAGTTTAAGTCTGCTTCTGAGATCTGATAATGCGTTTTGGTATCCCTCGTCTTGTCTCGGAGTTTTTCTGGAGGATAATTAGTTTCCAGTCGGCCTGGACACAAGTAACAGGATATATAATAATAATGTAAGATTTTCAGTTTGTTAAACTCACCCTAAATGCAGCAAAGTCAGTGGAGGAGGAAGTTAATATTTTATTTTAGTTGCTTAGTTAAGAGACAGGAGTGTTACATCTTCTCCAAAGCAAGCTGTTTGGGTCATCTCGGTCCAGGCTCCTCCTTTACAGGGTCTTTTGAGGAAGGTAGTGATGACTTTGGGAGGTTGGGATACTCTTTTTTTCTTTTGTGCTGTAAGGATTAACTGGCTATTGCCAGTAAGTAGTGAGTTTACTGTTAAATTAGATTTACTTTTAAGATTTCTGTTTTAAAAAAACATCAAGGACACTTGGGGCCTGATACAGAGCTCACTGAAGTCATTGGAAAGGCTTCTGTTGAGTTCAATGAACTTTGGATATGGACACTACAGCAGGGGTTCTCAACCTTTTTCCTTCTGAGGCCCCCCCCCCAACATGCTATAAAAACTCCATGGCCCACTTGTGTCACAATAACTTTTTTTTGCATATAAAAGCCAAGGCCAGTGATAGGGGGTAGCAAGCAGGGCAATTGCCTGGGATCCCTGCCACAGGCGCACTGCAAAGCTACATTGCTCAAGCTTCAGCTTCAGCTCTGGGTGATGGGGCTTCGGCTTTCTGCCCTGGGCCCCAGCGAGTCTAACGCTGGTCCTGCTTGGCAGACCCCCTGAAACCTGCTCGCAGCCCCCAAGGGGACCATGGACCCCTGGTTGAGAACCACTGCACTACAGCACCTTTCTACACTCTTGTACATTTAAATAAAGAACTATCTGTCCAGATCTAGAAATTCTTTAACTGATTCAAATTTGCTAAGGACTTTACAGCTTACATTTACATTTGCTGAATATATTATGCCTGTTAAATCAAGTTCTACCAAAGGAACTAATGAAAAAAGTCAGAAACAGAAGAGACACAGGATGTATCATCTTCATTGTGTATCTATCTTTTATACCATGGAACCCATTTTAAATGATTATCCAAATGACAAGCCAAATAAAACTGAGCTGGAAAACAGGGATATTTCAAAGACAGGAAGTTGCCCATTGAGGTGGTCTTTGGTACTTGTTTCAAATTAATTCTTGTAACTCCACTGAAATCAATTAATTGACTTCAGTAATTTTTATATTGAAGTCACAGGGCTTGATTCACTCCCACCAGAGCAAGTCTGTCTGTGGAACCCTGATAGCAGTGAGTATGCCAGGAGGGGAGTTGCAACAAGCTACATACAAAGTATGCAGGACCAGCTATAAACGGATATGCACTGATTCCACACATCTTCCAGGGAGCCTCAGCTGTCTGGGCCTTCAGGCTGCCTTTCCTAGTGGAACCCCCAGAGTGAGGGCTGGCAGCACAATCACGTCTGCCTCCAACAACATGGCTAGCCCAGTAGGATAAACTGCAACCCCCTGGAATCTTGCACAGTGAATCAACTGAAGTCAACAGACTAATACACAGTCTTTCAAAGCGTTGCATAGCGCCCATTACCATAGTATCTAAGCACAGGGAGTAATCTGACCCTACTGTATATTCTTCATACATACAAACTGAAATACGAGCTCATCTAAATATGGATCACACACATACATAGAATCATAAGACTGGAAGGGACCTCAAGAGGTTATCTAGTCCAGTCCCCTGCACTCCTGGCAGGACTAAGTATTATCTAGACCATCCCTGACAGGTGTTTGTCTAACCTGCTCTTAAAAATTTCCAGTGATGGAGATTCCACAACGTCCCTAGGCAATTTATTCCAGTGCTTAACCACCCTGACAGTTAGGAAGTTTTTCCTAATGTCCAACCTAAACCGCCCTTGCTGCAATTTAAGTCCATTGCTTCTTGTACTATCCTCAGAGGTTAAGAAGGACAATTTTTCTCTCTCCTCCTTGTAACAACCTTTTATGTACTTGAAAATTGTTATGTCCCCTCTCAGTCTTCTCCTTTCCAGACTAAACAAACAGATTAAACAAAGATTGACTAAACTTCAATCTTCCCTCATAGGTCATGTTTTCTAGATCTTTAATCATTTTTGTTGCTCTTCTCTGGACTTTCTCCAATTTGTCCACATCTTTTCTGAAATGTGGTGCCCAGAACTGGACACAATACTCCAGTTGAGGCCTAATCAGCGCGGAGTAGAGCGAAAAATTACTTCTCGTGTCTTGCTTACAACACTCCTGCTAATGCATCCCAGAATGATGTTCGCTTTTTTTGCAACAGTGTTACACTGTTGATTCATATTTAGCTTATGGTCCACTATGATCCCCAAATCTCTTTCCACAGTACTCCTTCCTAGGCAGTCATTTCCCATTTTGTATGTGTGCAACTGATTGTTCCTTCCTAAGTGGAGTACTTTGCATTTGTCCTTATTGAATTTCATCCTGTTTACTTCAGACATTTCTCCAGTTTGTCCAGATCATTTTAAATTTTAATCCTATCCTCCAGAGAACTTGCAATCTCTCCCAGCTTGGTATCGTCCGCAAACTTTATAAGTGTACTCTCTATGCCATTATCTAAACCATTGATGAAGATATTGAACAGAACTGGACCCAAAACTGATCCCTGCGGGACCCCATTTGTTATGCCCTTCCAGCATGACTGTGAACCACTGATAAATATTCTCTGGGAATGGCTTTCCAACTAGTTATGCACCCACCTTATAGTAGCTCCATCTAGGTTGCATTTTCCTAGTTTGTTTATGAGAAGGTCATGCGAGACAGTATCAAAAGTTTTACTAAAGTCAAGATATACTTCGTCTACTGCTTCCCCCCTATCCACAGGGCTTGTTACCCTGTCAAAGAAAGCTATCAGGTTGATTTGACATGATTTGTTATTGACAAATCCATACTGACTGTTACTTATCACCTTATTATCTTCTAGATGTTTGTAAACTGATTGATTAATTATTTGCTCCATTATCTTTCTGGGTACAGAAGTTAAGCTGACAGGTCTGTAATTCCCTGGGTTGTCCTTATTTCCCTTTTTATAGATGGGCACTATATTCTCTGCTTCATATTTGTTCTTATTCCCTTAACTTCACTGACCCTCTGACTGCGGCAGTTCCTCTTGTTTGGTTCTATTATTCTCTTGCACATAACACAGTAAGTTTTCGATCACAAACACCGCATCAATTATGGCACCAGGAGGACCTTGAATCTCTAATCTTGCTTTTCCACCAACCACTTCTTCCAATATGGATACACCGAAACGCTGCAGATGAGAAAGTTCTGCACGCTCTCTTCTGCTAAGGTTAAAAATGTGATTGTTTTCTATAACAATAAGGTGACTTTCCTGGACTTGCATTATGTCTTCAATCCATATTTTTGCTGCTTCCAGTTTTTCATAGCAGTTGCCAATAAGTTCAATGGCTGGTCCATTTTTTTTATTCTGTATTTCAGCTTGTCTGTCGGAGCGTGACCCTGTAAGGAGTACAGTTTATACAAGTGCAATCGGTAGACTGAAAAGTTCACAAGTGCGGTTACAAATCTCTATATGCAGCCTTGAGACTCTGCAGCACAAGGAATCTTACTGCCCTTCTGGTACGTTCAGAATGGGGATATTACGACAGGCACTAAGGGGTAGATTTTTAAAGATACAAATGGCAGTTGGGCATCTAAGTCTCATTAACTTTCAATTTTGCATTTGAAAATCTCCCCGTAAGGGCCTAATTCTCATTGATTTAAGTGGGACCAGGATTTGCCCCTAGTAATAATTAATAAATACAGTTTCAGTCCAGATGTATAAACATCATTCTATTTTGAAGTCAAATTAAATGGTAGTTGTTCTCTGAACCATTAAAAAACTTGTTCATTTTCATGTTTCCCCACATTCCGCTAATGGGTGGTTTAAGCAGAAGTTGCTATTTCAGGAGATACTGGAGATAATGAAATTAAATATTTACACAGACTGAAAATATTCATGTTGCTTTTAAGTCTCTAGTGAGGACCGTTTTTGTGTTAAGAGAATACACTGTAGTTCTAGGGGGAAATGAAGGAGAGGACACTGTCCTACTTACAAAGAAGCCCTTTTATTAAATCCCTGTTGGTGTTTGGCTCTAGATAAATGAAGTACCTTTTGCATTTTAACTACATCTGTGTTCTCCCTGGTTTTTTTTTAAATAGGTTGTAAATCAGTGCTTAAATCAGTGCTAAAATCAATGTGTTTCACTCACACTGGCTTCGGATTAGCTAGCTAGAATATGTTTTAAATGACAACAATCTCAGCTTGATATAAAGAGTCCTCTGATGGAAATGGTAATGGGCTGGAGTGCTGCCCACAATAATTTGAACATAGGAGACACAAGGCAAATACAAGTCCCCTGCCTACAAGGAGGGAAGGAATGTCACCCATGACACCATCCTCACCTTCCTTGAACTGAAATTCTACCCTTTGGCGCCAGGGGCCCAATCACATGAAGTACTTTGTGCCATCAACTCCCACTGATTGCAGTTGGTAGCGATGGCCCTAACCAAAGGTTGAACAAAACTGTACTGCTAAATTAAAGTGTAACTAAAGACAGGGCACTGCCTTCTGCAGGTGCAGGTTTTTACTGTGTTAATTAAACCTATACAACAAGCTCTGGAACGCTGTAGTAGCTAAAATGCACTCAGCCAGGGTCCCCCAAAGTTTAATTTTTTTTTTTAAAGTCAGGTGCACTAAACTTCTGGGCCTGGTTCTAGGAAAACTGAGAAAAACAACAACTTTCATCACCACCAGGCTGAATAGGGACAGCTGTGTTCATGTCCTCTCAGCAGCTGGCCTCTGATAAAGCTGTGTATTATAACCTAGCCAGGTTTTCTCTCAAATCAACTAATGATGACGATTTTCACAGGGACCCCTTTCAGATTCATTAGAAACCACAACACCGGGAACAATTCAGCCCTGGATTATGTCTGCTTCCAACAGCATAACCCAGAGATATGTGCAGCAGGGGACACCTTCCCTCCCTCCCTCAGAGGTGGGGTGTCGCAGGGGGTGAATCAAGCCCCACCATACCTAACAAAGGGTTCTGTTGGTCTTTCTCTTGATTTGAAATGTTTAAAGTTTATTTTTGTTCACTGGATCAGTGACAATTAACTAGGCTGAGGAGAGAACTGGTTAGATAATTTCATGGCCACTAACTAGACTTGTAGCCAGTATACACAAGGGTGATTAAACCTTGTGCTTCAGGGTCAGAAAGGAATTCCTCTTGCCCCAGAAAAGGCACTGCACAATTATTGGAGCCCAGAAGGGTCATCTTCCTCTGAAGCATCAACTACCCAAAGATTGGTAAGGGGAGCAAGGACCTGAGCCTGGTATGACAAATCCTGTTTGCATATGCTGGAAAAAAGGTGCCAAAGCACGACAGTTAGAACCTTCTATGTCAACAATTTATCATGCCCATTAGCTCCTTAAATAGAAGGAACTGGGATGAAGATTGATTAGAGAGAATAATTGATAACTGATGGTTTAGCTTCTTCCAGTCTGTATTCACAGTTAAGAAATCCTCCTTTTGAGCTACCAAACCCTAAGATCAGTTCTATTCTCAGCACTCACACATAACTCCTGATAACATCAGGGTGAATGACATGGGTCTTTCAAGGGGCAAAAGACTGCAAAGTGTCTGAAGAATTGAATAGTTAGCTCAACAGTTACATTTTTGTTTACATGAATGAGAATCTGATAAAAGTCAAAAGCGGTCTATCAGAACACTAAAACAAGTTTTGCAAAACACAACTTTAGAAGAGGTAACACATTTTCCCCATTATACCCAAACCAGTCTTGTATTTTTCTCCCTCTTATCACCCAGTTTGACACGCAATGAAACTAAATAAAAAATTAAATGCAGAGCTCCTGTGTGATGATTTCACCCCCAAATAATAGATATTAGGAGAATATAATTTTCAGAACCTTATTCACCCTTTGTGCTTCTTACTTACCCAAATCATCAGTTTTGTTGCATTCCATGTCTTCTATCAGTTTGTTTTTTGCTGACTCAAACTTGGTTTGGAAAGCCTTGAAAAAGAAAGATTTAGAATCAGTTCACAGCCAGCTATGTATCAAACCACTAACAAATGAACAGAGTCGGTCTCTCCAGATTTCTGTTAGGTAAGCAATTTTAGTCAGTCTTCTTTCACACAGGGCCCGATGCTGGTTTCCTGTGCCAAGCCTAGTTCCAGGGTTTTGTACAGGGACATGGATGGCATCCTCTCCAATTCCATTTGCAGGTAGTATGTGGGGAACTCAGGCAGCCAGGCTATGGCAGCTATTTCAGCTTATGGGCAGGAGTAGAAGCTGCCCACTGCTCTCTTTTGCTTGTGGTTTTATGCTGGTGGATCCATGCTGTGCATAGATGCACTGACTATCCCCCTACTTAACTCACAGTCACAAAGCTCCTCTCCATAGCCTCATGTGGAAAGCCACTGAGGTGCACTGCTCTGTGCTGTGCAGTAGGTTTGGGCTTCCTGCAGATTGGCATCCCTGAGCAGTGAAAATACAGCATTCATGTTGTTTTTTAGCCTTGAAGGCCTGTGGCGGGGAGAGGACAGGCTTTGGCACATTAGTGAAACAACTGGCAGTGTGAGCATGTGGTCCAAGGGAACACAGAGACAAATGACAACCAAATATAATTTGTCAGAGTTCTGGCATATGGAAAAATGATAAAAATCATCTTCAGACAATGCCAAGCAAAGTACATTGTAAATTAATACTACATTAGAAAATAAAAAGATTTTACACTGAACTATACTAACTAAAAAGGTGAAGAAACTGCACAGCAGGTCTACAGCATAGATGAACAAAAGTAAATTAATTAAACTTGGAAATTCTTATTGTAAATACTTCTAAAACTGAGGGGCAACTTCAGAGTTTATATGCAAGGTGCTGTAAATTACATGTCAATAAGGGGTTTAAGTTGGTTTATTTGAACCTAGGAGTCAAAATTGATGTAACCTACATATCAATGACATGGAAGAGATGGTGTATCAGGAAAAGCAACTAACAGGAAGGAGGAAGAAGTCAGGAGTGGCTACACCTTTTTTCTGTTCTTCAGCATGTAAGTTACACTCAGACTCCCTTACGCCCAGTTACTGATACCACATTACACTTCACATCTGAATTTGGTCCTGAGTACGATTCAATTGTCCATGATAGCCTTTCAGAGCAGAAGCAAGAGAATAATGTTGCCTTTTTGCCAGTCCACACTCTATTGCTCTGTATGTTACTTTTGCTACAGTATACAGGCTCACTCCTCACCTGCTGAAGTCAGTGGGAGTTTTGGGTTCAATGAGAACAGGATCAAATCTTATATTTTTATAATATATGGATACTTAAAACAGCCATATATAAATCACCTGGTCCAAATTCTCTGCTGGCATAAACGGATACAGTTCCATTGAAATTACCAACAGAGAATTTGACCTCCTGTCCACAGCCTTTTCTACCATGGCAAGCCAAGCCCTTTGTGACAATACATTGGTACGGGAGATGACGTGACAGAATTTGCTAAATGTATTTCCTGTGGCATAACTTCAGTAGAAAGTCCGCACTAAGTGGGGAGCAGCACCTTCACTGTATACTCCCTACCAGCCCCAAGACATACACAGGGCCGGCTCCAGGGTTTTGGCCGCCCCAACCAGCCAAAAAAAAAACACCCCGCACGCAAACAACAACAACAAAAGCCGCCATCGCGATCTGCGGCGACAATTTGGTGGAAGGTCCTTCGCTCCGAGCGGGAGTGAGGGACCGTCCGCCAAATTGCCGCTGAATAGCTGGACGTGCCTCCCCTCTCCGGAGTGGCTGCCCCAAGCACCTGCTTGCCAAGCTGGTGCCTGAAGCCGGCCCTGGACATACACCAGAGGCTTGCTATCCATCTTTACAAATGTTATGTCTAGTTTGGTATATGAAGTACTTTAGCTTGTAGCAATACACAGAAACTTTCTTCATGGATATTGTGGGTTCTTCTACTTATAGTTAATGCTAGATGTTTTACCTTATAGACATAACTGTCATTTGGATGGATCACAAAATACACATCTGTCTTCTTCCAAGGATGTTCCTTTGCAAAGCTTAAAACTTCATCAATCATAATATCTGCCACTTCATCATTTGGCAAATTTAACACTCCAGTCCCAATTGCAGGGAAGGAAATTGAGGGAAGCTGATACTCCTGAATCTTAAGCAAACATCTTGACATTACAGTTTCTAGTCCCTGCAGAAAAAAAAAGGAGAGTTTTTAGACTTCACTTTACTTTTTGACCTGAAAAAGAGAAGTGAAAATCCACTGTAGCTGAACGTCACCTTGCGTGAATCACTGCTGCTTTGTGAGGACCATACTACGTGGAGCACAGACTTGCAGGCAAGATTGTATCCTTTTGTCAATATAAATTTCTCACAATATGGAGGAAGTTTTTGTAACTCAAACAGAAATTCCTTCTGAAGAGATAGGCCTGCTTTTTCCAGAATTGCTCTTGAAAGGTTTCCTCTTGAGAGATCATCATTCATGACCACAGAATTAACAATGACTGCAGTCTGGAAGAAAAGAACACAAGCTCTCAGTATATTTTATTTCAGCTAAATGCATATTTTACCTGCACTGCAGTCAGATCCCCACTTCAAATGTACCTGTGCAGCTGGTGAAGTTTTTCCTTATTAAAAACACCACCCCACCCAGACACTTCCCCTTTTTAAGGTACATCTTCACTGCATGCTTCTTTCGGCAGCGGGTAGAACACATACCAGCATTACCCTCCTCCCCTCCCCCCCGCCCATAACTAGCAGTGTAGCTGGTGAGGCATGTAGAATACAAAACATAGTTGAAGGGTGTGGATATGTACACAAGTACATCCCTTACACGCTTTCTACTCACCCAAGCTGTGCCTCTCCATCTACACTGGTATTTTTAGCTGCTGAAGCTTTTCTCCTCTGTCTCTGCCTGCCAGAGCCTTCCGTTGACAGGAGTAGCTACACACCGCAGCAGGCGGTGGATACAACAGGCTTTTCGGTGTGGCGCACGGCTACACGTAGCCTACATGCCACTGACAATGGTGCGTAGTGTAGATGTAGCCTTAGAGTAGTAAGCACTGCCAGTCACACTAATAGTCCTCACCATCTTGTGTACTCAGGAGGAATTGCAAAATTATGGCTGCCTTCTGTGCAGGAGCACTATGGGAGGATGGAAATCCATGAGCTTTCTCCTTCTGCCCATCACGTACTCCCTAGGACTGCTGTAATTTGGAACTGAATTTGTGAAATGCAAAACTTTTGCTTATGGTATTTTGACCACAGAAATAATGAGTCGAACCTTAGCTTGATTGTTTAAGAGTAATTCAAAATACAAGGCTCTGAGCTATACCCATTCAGTTCCTCGGAAGGAATATAACTTTTTATAGTCAGTTGACAGAATTTCTCCCCCATCGACCAAAGGTCATAATTGCTGCCCTTTATTTCCACATCTATAAAAACAAACTTCGTAAGGAGTCAAGATGTTTCTTTAACACACAAAGTATGGAACATTCTGTAAAATACAGGATTTGTTAGAAACAGACTATCATTAAAGCTGTGATGCAGCTTCCAGTCTATTCACCCTTTCTGGTTTGCCCATAACTAGGATTGCCATGTTTTACCAGATTTTCCAGTTATAATAAGTGAAATAAGTCTATTTAAAATCACATGCTGGTGTTTGTCTAACTTGCTCTTAAAAATCTCCAATGATGGAGATTCCACAACTTCCCTAGGCAATGTATTCCAGTGCTTAACCACCCTGACAGTTAGGAAGTTTTTCCTAATGCCCAACCTAAACCCCCTTTGCTGCAATTTAAGCCCATTGCTTCTTGTCCTATCCTCAGAGGTTAAGAAGAACAATTCTTCTCCCTCCTCCTTGTAACAACCTTTTATGTACTTGAAAACTGTTATCATGTCCCCTCTCAGTCTTCTCTTTTCCAGACTAAACAAACCCAATTTTTGCAATCTTCCCTCATAGGTCATGTTTTCTAGACCTTTAATCATTTTTGCTGCTCTTCTCTGGACTTTCTCCAATTTGTCCACATCTTTCCTGAAATGTGGTGTACAGAACAGGACACAATGTTCCAGTTGAGGCCTAATCAGTGCAGAGTAGAACAGAAGAATTACTTCTTGTGTCTTGCTCACAACACTCCTGCCTGATGTGATAGGAGCTAGGAGAGTAAACTTCTAGGGGATACATGAAAAAAAAAGTTAACTTAAAATATTACATTAAAAAAGTAAATGTTAATGCCCTGGTTCTAATGGGGGACTTCAATCACCCTGACCTCTGCTGGGAGAGCAATACTGCGGTGCACAGACAATCCAGGAAGTTTTTGGAGAGTGTTGGGGACAACTTCCTGGTACAACTACTGGAGGAATCAACCAGGGGCCATACTCCTCTTGACCTGCTGCTTACAAACAGGGAAGAATTGGTAGGGGAAGTAGAAGTGGGTGGCAACCTGGGCAGCAGTGACCATGAGATGGTTGAGTTCAGGATCCTCACAAAAGGAAGAAAGGAGAGTAGCTAATATGAGGGGGAAAGGAGTCCAGGAAAGCTGGCTGTATTTTAAAGAAGCCTTATTGAGGGCACAGGAACAAACCATCCCGATGTGCAGAAAGAATAACAAATATGGCAGGTAACCAGCTTGGCTTAACAATGAAATCTTCGGTGAGCTTAAACACAAAAAGGAATTTTACAAGAAGTGGAAACTTGGTCAGATGACTAGGGAGGAGTATAAAAATATTGCTTGAGCATGCCTGGGTGTAATCAGGAAGGCCAAAACACAACTGGAGTTGCAGCTAGCAAAGTGGGTAACAAGAAGGGTTTCTACAGGTATGTTGGCAACAAGAAAAAGGTCAGGGAAAGTGTGTGACCCTTAATGAATGGGGGAGGCAACCTAGTGACAGATGATGTGGAAAAAGCTGAAGTACTCAATGCTTTTTTTGCCTCGGTCTTCACAGACAAGCTTAGCTCCACACTGCTGTCCTGGGCAACACAGTATGGGGAGGAGGTGAGCAGCCCTCAGCGGTGAAAGAACAGGTTAAGGACTATTTAGAAAAACTGAACATGCACAAGTCCCTGGGTCCAGATCTAATGCATCCGAGGGTGCTGAGGGAATTGGCTGATGTGATTGCAGAGCTATTGGCCATTATCTTTGAAAACTCGTGGCTATTGGGGGAGGTCCTGGACGATTGGAAAAAGGCAAATACACCTCTACCCCAATATAACGTGACCTGATATAACACGAATTTGGATAGAACATGGTAAAGCAGTGCTCCGGGGGGGGGGGGGGGGGGGGCTGCGCACGCCGTCGGATCAAAGCAAGTTCGATATAACGCGGTTTCACCTATAATGTGGTAAGATTTTTTGGCACCCGAGGACAGCATTATATTGGGGTAGAGGTGTATAGTGCCCATCTTTAAAAAAGGGAAGGAGGAGTATCCAGGGAACTACAGAACAGTCGGCGTCACCTCAGTCCGTGGAAAAATCATGGAGCAGGTCCTCAAGGAAATCATTTTGAAGCACTTGGAGGATAGGAAGGTGATCAGGAACAGTCAACATGGATTCACCAAGGGCAAGTCATGCCTGACCAACCTGATTGCCTTCTATGATGAGATAACTGGCTCTGTGGATATGGGGAAAGCAGTGGACGTGATATATCTTGATTTTAGAAAGCTTTTGATACGGTCTCCCACAGTATTCTTGCCAGCAAGTTAAAAAAGTATGGCTTGGATGAATGGACTATAAGGTGGATAGAAAGCTGGCTAGATTGTCGGGCTCAACGGGTAGTGTTCAATGGCTTAATGTCTAGTTGGCAGCTGGTATCAAGCGGCGTGCCCAATGGGTCCGTCCTGGGGCCGGTTTTGTTCAACATCTTTTTTAATGATCTGTATGATGGGATAGATTGCATCCTCAGCAAGTTCGCGGATGACACTAAGCTGGGGGGAGAGGTAGATATGCTGGAGGGTAAAGATAGGGTCCAGAGTGAACTAGACAAGTTGGAGGATTGGGCCAAAAGAAATCTGATGAGGTTCAACAAGGACAAGTGCAGAGTTCTGCACTTAGGATGGAAGAATCCCATGCACTGCTACAGGCTGGGGACCGACTGGCTAAGCAGCAGTTCTGCAGAAAAGGACCTGGGGATTACAGTGGATGAGAAGCTGTATATGAGTCAGCAGTGTGCCCTTGTTGCGAAGAAGGCTAACGGCATATTGGGCTGCATTAGTAGGAGCATTGCCAGCAGATTGAGGGAAGTGATTATTCCCTTCTATTCGGCACTGGTGAGGCCACATCTGGAGTACTGCATCCAGTTTTAGACTCCCCCACTACAGAAAGGATGTGGACAAATTGGAGAGAATCCAGCGTAGGGCAACGAAAATGATTAGGGGGCTGGGGGACATGACTTACGAGGAGAGTCTGAGGGAACTGGGCTTGTTTAGTCTTCAGAAGAGAAGAGTGAGGGAGGATTTGATAGCAGCTTTCAACTACCTGAAGGAGGGTTCCAAAGAGGATGGAACTCAGCTGTTCTCAGTGGTGGCAGATGACAGAACAAGGAGCAATGGTCTCAAGTTGCAATGGGGGAGGTCTAGGTTGGATATTAGGAAACACTATTTCACTGGGAGGGTGGTGAAGCACTGGAATGGGTTACCTAGGGAGGTGGTGGAATCTCCATCCTTAGAGGTTTTTAAGGCCCGGCTTGACAAAGCCCTGGCTGGGGTGATTTAGTTGTGTTGGTCCTCCTTTGAGCATGGGGTTGGATTAGATGACCTCCTGAGGTCTCTTCCAACCCTAATCTTCTATGATTCTATGATAACTTTATTCTATTGACTGTCCTGACTCTATCTGTTGTTTTCTCCTATTCTCTCATAACAGGGCTCACTCACACTTTTCATAACTCAATAGTCATATTATAAGAAGATACCTGTGTATATAATGTATTGGTCCACTGATTCTAATGTTGGGTAACTAAAGGCAAGAGGACAAGATGCACATTTACTGGATCAATACAACATGCCTTCTAATCTCTTAGGGCAGGTCTACACTAATCCCCAAATTTGAACTAAGGTACGCAATTTCAGCTACGTGAATAACGTAGCTGAAGTTCGAAGTACCTTAGTTGGAACTTACCTCCGTCCAGACGCGGCAGGCAGGCTCCCCCGTCGACTTCGCGTACTCCTCTCGCTGAGCTGGAGTACCGCAGTCGACGGCGAGCACTTCCGGGTTCGACTTATCGCGTCCAGACAAGACGCGATAAGTCGAACCCAGAAGTTCGATTTGCTTGCCGCCGAACTAACGGGTAAGTGTAGACCTACCCTCAGTGTCCAATCCTGCAAGGTGCTGGGATGCAAGTCCATGCTCAGCACTTCACAAGATCAGGGCCTTCGTGCTCCATCGTGAAGACTTACTTGCTGATCTTCAATGTGTCCTCTTATGATGTGTAGGCAAAGACCATTGATTGTGATGGAATCTGGAAGCCGGTTTGCTGAAGCTGGTGGAGTCTCCTGAAGTGAGTTGATGTCACTCCTGCCCAGCAACTCTTCACAGGCCTTTTTCATTGCTGCAACTGTGGGCTCAGCAATGTTCACCAAGTGGATTTCTTTGAACCAGCCAAATAATGGAGCTAGCTCAACAAAATTCTTTATAGTCCGTACGATCACATGAGCACATAAATCTAGTGGGAAGCCAAAAATTCCTGAGCTCACTGCAGGGATTGCAACAGACTTTATATTATTCTCCGCAGCATTAACATATTTCAGGACATTTATAATGGCTGTCTCAAGCATGTGACAACATCTTTCACTTTCATTTGCAGACCATCTTGGACCTACTGTGTGGATAACTTTCTTACAAGAAAGCCTGCCTCCACCTGTCACTACTATTTGGCCAGTGGTGAGTGTTCCATGGCGATTAATATAACATTTACTCTCTTGCTTAATTTCTGGCCCACCAGCTTTCACCAGGGCAAGAGCAAGGCCTCCAATATGGTCCAGATGTTCATTGGCTGCATTCACCAAAGCATCAGCATTATGTCTTGTCAGATCATCCACCCAAACAGATATCTCAATTCCTTCCTTCAGGCTTTTCCTGTATACTTCAAGGGGACATCTTATACTCTTAAGGAGAGACATGCAACCAAACTTCTTTTCAATGAGGTCACGTAGACAGCTCTCTCTTCTTGTAAGGATTTCATAAACATCCTTACTGATGGGAATTGTTAAGCTCTCCTCTGTATCCTTGCTGGACACTAGATAATAAAACAATTTGAAGAGAAATGCAGTAATCCAACGTAAAAAACATTTTTAATGCAGACCATATTTTAAAGCTTTCAATCATTTTTAAAATTGAGTGGGACGACAAAGGAAAATTACTTACTGATCATTCCTTTTGTCATAGTCTTCTCTTCTCCTATTCTACCTTAGAGACATAGCAAAGACAGCCAGTTTTTGGGTCCCTTTACCAGTAAAGCAAGAAGGCAAAGGCCTTACAAGTCAGAGCTTCCTTGTAGAAGCCCCAATCTGGCCCCATTCTTGCCCATGTCAGCTGCCATGACTAACTCTCCTCTTATCCAGCCAGGCCTTTGTCTCCTAAATCAATGTGCAGCCTATGAGGACTCTGTTGTATGGACCAGTTTACACTTACACCTTCACCTTTGTTCCAATCAGATGCCATTCCCTGACTTCCCAGGAAGAACTCTTCTTCCTTCCTCTGTCCATTTGGACTTCCTGTCTGGACTGTGGGTCATCCCATATCCCATCCTTCCAGGTCTTTTCTCTTTCCCTCCCTCCTTCCAGTCCAATCCACATCACCACTGATGTGAATTTCAGAGGCGTGGGGAGCCCATTTTGATTTTGAGGAACAGAAAAGGCTCAGCATCAATATTCTGGAGCTGCCAGATATCCACCTCATCCAACAAACCTGTGAACACTTGGTTTTCCAGTCCCATGTTCTCACCCAGTAAGCTCACTCTTTAGTTCTGCAGCTTCTCAGAGGCCCTTCCTTTTTGCCCACAGCAGAGAGTCCACAATCTCCCTACAAGTTTTAACTTTAAGTAGCGCTGTAGGAGAAGAAAATGGGCCACCATCTCGTTTCACATAAGCCACCAAACAGCTGTCAGATCAACATTTTTTTTTATCACAGCCCACTGGGAGTAAATCTCAACTAGCAACACAGAACTGCAAAGGTCTTTATACCATTATGAATCCCCTGAGTTATATAATCCTCTGTATTGGTAGATTTCTATAGAACTACATACAGGAGATCTCTCATTAACTTGTTTGTGACAGTGTAAATCAGGGGTCGGCAACCTACGGCATGCACGCGAGCCGATTTTGAATGGCATTCAGCTCCCCTGAGGCGGTCCCGGCCCCCAGCCCCATTCAGCCCCCCCTGCCCACCGTTCTCCCCTGCGGGGGCAGGAGGCAGAAGCTTGGTTCTGCAGCAGCCAAGCTTCCTCCCTCCCCCGCTTCTTCCCCCAGCGTGATGCTTTCCGGCCCCTCCTCCTCTCCTTCCCTGGCCAATCAGCTGATGGCCCTAGCGAGGGGGAGGGGGAAGAGCGGCAGCGTCCACACAGCTCCGTAGAGGAGGCAGAGAGAGGTAGGGACGGGCCTTGGGGAAGGGGGTGGAACAGGGCATATCCCTTCCAGCCCCCTGCCCTGAGC